GATGACGGACTAGTGATGACGGACCAGTGATGACGGACCAGTGATGGACCAGTGATGATGGACCAGTGATGGACCAGTGATGGACCAGTGATGACGGACCAGTAATGTTCCAGTGATGACGGACCAGTAATGGTCCAGTGATGACGGACCATTGATGGACCAGTGACGGATCAGTGATGACGGACCAGTGATGACGGACCAGTGATGGACCAGTGATGGACCAGTGATGACGGACCAGTGATGACGGACCAGTAATGGACCAGTGATGACGGACCAGTGATGACGGACCAGTAATGACGGACCAGTGATGACGACCAGTAATGGTCCAGTGATGACGGACCAGTGATGACGGACCAGTGATGGACCAGTGATGACGGACCAGTGATGACGGACCAGTGATGACGGACCAGTGATGACGGACCAGTAATGGACCAGTGATGATGTCGCAGTGATGGATCAGTGATGATGTCGCAGTGATGGACCAGTGATGATGGACCAGTGATGATGTAGCAGTGATGGACCAATGATGACCGACCAGTGATGTACCAATGATGATGGACCAGTGATGGACCAGTGATGACGGACCAGTGATGGACTAGTGATGTGCCAATGATGATGTACCAGTGGTGAACCAGTGATGGACCAGTGATAACGGACCATCAATTCATTGAATACCCGAAATAAATCATTTTATATTTACCTTTTACTGAAAATTTCCACTTAAATATTCAGTGACAGTAAAGTGCTATGCTCTTTACGATTTTATTATATACTTTTGTGTATAATTTGAGCAGGTGCTTATGTATATTTCTTTTGTATGACTTTTATGTTCTTTTCTAAGGTTCAGGAGTTAGGGTTTTTATGGGAATAAATACCGTGTTGGGCTGTTTATCCTACTCCATCTTACTGGTCAGTAAGGTGCAGTAATGCTCTTACTGAGCACTTGGACGGTCGGGAATTGAACGTCGACCTGCATGAAGCGAGACCGTCGCTCTACCGTCCACCCCCAGATGGTTGGAACGAAAAAGGAGGAAGGCTAATACACAGAAAACTATAAAGATATATGTGAGGAGCTCAATTCTAGCTGGCATGTAATGTGCACAACAGAGCCTGAGCCCTCAGCGAGCCTCTGGCACTGATCTTTAACGAGTCACTTGAACCAGACAGCGTATCCCCATAAATGTTTAAAGAAGCAGCGCAGGCCCTCAGCGAGCCTCTGGCAGTGATCTTTAACGAGTCACTTGGACCGGACAGCGTATCCCCATAGATGTTAAAAGAAGCAGCACAGGCCCTCAGCGAGCCTCTGGCACTGATCTTTAACGAGTCACTTGGACCAGACAGCGTATCCCCATAGATGTTAAAAGAAGCAGCACAGGCCCTCAGCGAGCCTCTGGCAGTGATCTTTAACGAGTCACTTGGACCGGACAGCGTATCCCCATAGATGTTAAAAGAAGCAGCACAGGCCTTCAGCGAGCCTCTGGCAGTGGTCTTTAACGAGTCACTTGGACCGGACAGCGTATCCCCATAGATGTTAAAAGAAGCAGCACAGGCCCTCAGCGAGCCTCTGGCAGTGATCTTTAACGAGTCACTTGGACCGGACAGCGTATCCCCATAGATGTTAGAAGAAGCAGCGCAGGCCCTCAGCGAGCCTCTGGCAGTGATCTTTAACGAGTCACTTACACATACAGGGGGAGTTGCCAAACTGCTGCAAGAAGGCAATTGTGGTGCCAATCTACAAGAAAGGAGATAGAGAAGAGGCACTTAACTACAGACCAGTGCCACTTGATGTTTATAAACAAAACATCAATTGATGTTTGTAAACAAACATCAATTTGAAAACATGGCTTTAGGGAAGGGAAATATATCCTCCTCCTACATCCTACAATCCTCCTACAACTCATTACTACAATCACCTACAACACGCTACTACAATCACCTACAATACGTTATTACAATCACCTACAACACGCTACTACAATCTCCTACAATACGTTATTACAATCACCTACAACACGTTACTACAATCTCCTACAACACGTTACTACAATCACCTACAACACGTTACTACAATCACCTACAACACGTTACTACAATCACCTACAACATGTTACTACAATCACCTACAACACGTTACTACAATCACCTACAACACGTTACTACAATCACCTACAACACGTTATTACAATCACCTACAACATGTTACTACAATCACCTACAACACGTTACTACAATCACCTACAACACGTTACTACAATCACCTACAACACGTTATTACAATCACCTACAACATGTTACTACAATCACCTACAACACGTTACTACAATCACCTACAACATGTTACTACAATCTCCTACATCACGTTACTACAATCACCTACAACACGCTACTACAATCTCCTACAACACGTTACTACAATCACCTACAACACGTTACTACAATCACCTACAACATGTTACTACAATCACCTACAACACGTTACTACAATCACCTACAACATGTTACTACAATCTCCTACAACACGTTACTACAATCACCTACAACACGCTACTACAATCTCCTACAACACGTTACTACAATCACCTACAACACGTTACTACAATCACCTACAACACGTTACTACAATCACCTACAACATGTTACTACAATCACCTACAACACGTTACTACAATCACCTACAACACGTTACTACAATCACCTACAACACGTTATTACAATCACCTACAACATGTTACTACAATCACCTACAACACGTTACTACAATCACCTACAACATGTTACTACAATCTCCTACAACACGTTACTACAATCACCTACAACACGCTACTACAATCTCCTACAACACGTTACTACAATCACCTACAACACGTTACTACAATCACCTACAACATGTTACTACAATCACCTACAACACGTTACTACAATCACCTACAACATGTTACTACAATCTCCTACAACACGTTACTACAATCACCTACAACACGCTACTACAATCTCCTACAACACGTTACTACAATCACCTACAACACGTTACTACAATCTCCGCTTCGTTTCCGTTTCCACCTCGGCTGGGAATCGAACCCGGATCCCTTAGGACTCCAACTCCTGAGCGCTGTCCACTCAGACGCGAGACCCCCCCCCCCCCCTCCTTTGTACTCACCTAGTTGTATTCATCTAGTTGTGCTTGCTGCACTCCAGTATGTGTCTATTACCTTCTAGATCCTTTCATAATCTGTTCATGAGTTTCCAGTACCTTCCAGTTCACGAGTTTCCAGAAGGATCCAATGTGTGTTTCTGTCACAGAACCTTCCAGTAATCCTCAACAACTGGAACACCGCCGTAGAGTCTCAACAATATTCCCTCCACAAGCAACTTTAACAATTTATGGGCGGGTCTCCCAGGGCGAGGGCGGGCAGTTAGGGCGTGAAATATGGCCCCCGCGCCGCCACGCTCAACGCCGCTCCTGATTCACGCGGGCAGTCAGGGCGTGAAATATGGCCCCCGCGCCGCCACGCTCAACGCCGCTCCTGATTCACGCGGGCAGTCAGGGCCTGAAATATGGCCCCCGCGCCGCCACGCTCAACGCCGCTCCTGATTCACTCGGCAATATCTGCGGTCCAGGCGCCCACGACGCTATCCAGGAATGGTGAAGTTTGCAGAGGATGCAAGAATGGTAAACCAGTTTTAGGCCGAGGCTTTCAGAAGCTTCCAGAAGCTTCCTGGATCTTCCGGAAGCTTCCAGGAGCTTCCAGAAGCTTTAAGGAGGTTCTAGAGGCTTCCGTAAGCTTACAGAAGCTTCCTGGACCTTCCAGAAGCTTCAGGAGCTTCCATAAGCTTCCAGGAAATTCCAGAAGTTCCCGTTTAGGCGAAAAAAGGTTCCGGTAGTAGTGGCATATGGCTCATAGAAGGACCGTTTTGCTTTTTTCGACGGTCCCTCTATGAGTCGAGCATTTTTCGTTACCCCGCTGACCCTTGCACAGACATCGCTAATGGTCAATGACGTCACCAAGTCTTCATCTTCCCTGCATAAGCCCATTTACTGTTATGGTGCATTTATTCCCAACCCATACTTATCTAGAGGTTTTTTATTTATAGTGTCCCAAATTTTTTCCGGGGACTGTCGTAGCCACAGGGGTGTTTTCAATTTTTTTCCGACGGCTGCCTCTAGCCCAGGGTATGTTTTTCAATTTTTATTTGTTAGTGCCTCGTAGTCTCCTAATCTTTTCATTCATTTATCATCCGATCTCGTTCATCATATGTAATTTTCCAAACAAAGGAGATTAAAAGGTACCCTCCTAGACCCTGCCATTTTGGTTTCCATTCCATTTATGGTTTCCAGATGTTCTAACATTGGCTACTAAATGTTTCAACACTGGCTTCTAGAGGTTTCAACACTGGCTTCTAGATATTCCAACACTGGCTTCTAGAGGTTCCAACACTGGCTTCTAGAGGTTCCAACACTGGCTTCAAAAAACAGATGTGCAGTATAGAGGCTTTCAGGGCTTGTGTAATCCAAGGGACTCTGTTTTAGGGGTTATAGACTCCAATGGGGTCCAACGGGGTCCAAAGAGGTCCAAGGGGGTCCAAGGGGGTCCAAGGGGGTCCAAGGTTGTCCAAGGAGGTCCAAGGTTGTCCAAGGAGGTCCAGGGAGGTCCAAAGAGGTCCAAGGGGGTCCAAGGTTGTCTAAGGAGGTCCAAGGTTGTCCAAGGAGGTCCAAGGAAGTCCAAGGAGGTCCAAGGTTGTCCAAGGAGGTCCAAGGAGGTCCAAGGTTGTCCAAGGAGGTCCAAGGTTGTCTAAGGAGGTTCAAGGAGGTCCAAGGTTGTCCAAGGGGGTCCAAGGAGGTCCAAGGGGGTCCAAGGAGGTCCAAGGGGGTCCAAGGTTGTCCAAGGAGGTCCAAGGAGGTCCAAGGGGGTCCAAGAGGGTCCAAGGATGTCCAAGGAGGTCCAAGGAGGTCCAAGGGGGTCCAAGGAGGTCCAAGGGGGTCCAAGGAGGTCCAAGGGAGTTCAAGGTTGTCCAAGGAGGTCCAAGGGGGTCCAAGGTTGTCCAAGGAGGTCCAAGGTTGTCCAAGGAGGTCCAAGGTTGTCCAAGGTTGTCCAAGGAGGTCCAAGGTTGTCCAAGGTTGTCCAAGGAGGTGCAAGGTTGTCCAAGGTTGTCCAAGGAGGTCCAAGGTTGTCCAAGGTTGTCCAAGGAGGTCCAAGGTTGTCCAAGGTTGTCCAAGGAGGTCCAAGGTTGTCCAAGGAGGTCCAAGGTTGTCCAAGGTTGTCCAAAGGGGTCCAAGGGGGTCCAAGGTTGTCCAAGGAGGTCCAAGGTTGTCCAAGGAGGTCCAAGGTTGTCCAAGGTTGTCCAAGGAGGTCCAAGGTTGTCCAAGGAGGTCCAAGGTTGTCCAAGGAGGTCCAAGGTTGTCCAAGGAGGTCCAAGGTTGTCCAAGGAGGTCCAAGGTTGTCCAAGGTTGTCCAAGGAGGTCCAAGGCTGTCTAAGGTTGTCCAAGGAGGTCCAAGGTTGTCCAAGGTTGTCCAAGGATGTCCAAGGTTGTCCAAGGAGGTCCAAGGTTGTCCAAGGTTGTCCAAGGAGGTCCAAGGTTGTCCAAGGAGGTCCAAGGTTGTCCAAAGAGGTCCAAGGTTGTCCAAGGAGGTCCAAGGTTGTCCAAGGAGGTCCAAGGAGGTCCAAGGTTGTCCAAGGATGTCCAAGGAGGTCCAAGGTTGTCCAAGGTTGTCCAAGGAGGTCCAAGGTTGTCCAAGGTTGTCCAAGGTTGTCCAAGGAGGTCCAAGGTTGTCCAAGGAGGTCCAAGGTTGTCCAAGGTTGTCCAAGGAGGTCCAAGGTTGTCCAAGGTTGTCCAAGGAGGTCCAAGGTTGTCCAAGGTTGTCCAAGGGGGTCCAAGGGGGTCCAAGGTTGTCCAAGGAGGTCCAAGGTTGTCCAAGGAGGTCCAAGGTTGTCCAAGGTGGTCCAAGGTTGTCCAAGGAGGTCCAAGGTTGTCCAAGGAGGTCCAAGGTTGTCCAAGGAGGTCCAAGGTTGTCCAAGAAGGTCCAAGGAGGTCCAAGGTTGTCCAAGGAGGTCCAAGGAGGTCCAAGGAGGTCCAAGGGGGTCCAAGGAGGTCCAAGGAGGTCCAAGGGGGTCCAAGGTTGTCCAAGGAGGTCCAAGGATGTCCAAGGGGGTCCAAGGTTGTCCAAGGGGGTCCAAAGAGGTCCAAGGGAGTCTAAGGGGGTCCAAGGGGGGGGTCCAAATGAGTCCAATGGGCTGTGGAAATCCTATAAACGTTTCCCCGGGAAGGTGGCAACGTTCCAGAGCAGGGATGCCAGATTGGGCTACTTGTAGCCCAATTGGGTTACCAATTAGGATAATTGCATTCAATTACAAGGCCAGCTATGTATATCATTACTTACTACTTTCTCAGCGACAGTTAAAATAAGCTGTTTATTCTGAAAAAAACGAGTCAATCGGGAAAAAATATTTAGCTACTTTTATTGTAAAGTTTATGACATTTAGTTCTTCAGCTCGCAACTTTCGGCAATTCAAATCTGGCACCCCTGTTCCTGTGAGAACCGCGAGAACGTTTCTATCATCGACGAGTCAGAAACGTCCAACAGGAAGCTGGAAGTTCGAAGCCTCCAGCGGTCTGAGAGTACTTTACGCTGTTCCAGGAATATTTTCAGTGACTTTTCGGCTCAGGTTCCAGTATTTTCTCTGGCTTCGTACTGTTTTAGTCCATAAATTTTTGCTCAGCGATATCAGCAAATAATTACAGCACCTTACCAGATAGTGAATAATGTTTGAATTTGTTGATATATTTTTTGATGATGATTTATTGGGAGAAAAGTTGATTGTTTATAAGTTTAGTTGATTGTTTATGAGTTTTTCGGAGTTCTAATTTTCCCCTCGTTATCTCTAACCCCCTTGTCCTAGACAACACTGCGTCACAGTCGCGTTCCAGCAGCCGTCAAAGGCTGTCAAGTCGCTCTCCTCAGCGCCCTTTCAGGCACGTTGCTTGAGCTGCAAAGATTTTTATCTTTTTTGGCGCGTTCTCCCAGTTTCCATTTATCCAGTTCCCCCGTGTAAGGTGTCTCTGGTTCTCTAGCTACGCTCCGGTGCCTTCCTGTTCGCTTCTGGGAGCACGGAAATGGCTTATTTTGTCGTTCTTGTTGTATTTGTGTATTTTGTTGTATATTTTTGTTGCCTGCGATGTAAAGATAATCAGATATTGGACAGAGTAAGTGCTGGGATATGATACAGACTAAGTGCTGGGATATGAGGCAGACTAAGAGCTGGGATATGAGACAGACTAAGTGCTGGGATATGAGACAGACTAAGAGCTGGGATATGTGACAGACTAAGTGCTGGGTTATGAGACAGACTAAGTGCTGGGATATGAGAAAGACAAAGTGCTGGGTTATGAGACAGACTAAGTGCTGGGATATGAGACAGACTAAGTGCTGGGATATGAGACAGACTAAGTACTGGGATATGAGACAGACTAAGTGCTGGGATATGAGGCAGACTAAGAGCTGGGATATGAGACAGACTAAGAGCTGGGTTATGAGACAGACTAAGTGCTGGGATATGAGACAGACTAAGAGCTGGGATATGAGACAGACAAAGTGCTGGGATATGAGACAGACTAAGTGCTGGGATATGAGACAGACTAAGTGCTGGGATATGTGACAGACTAAGTGCTGGGATATGTGACAGACTAAAATCTAGGCCTTGAAACAGACTATGTCGTCCGTCGAAGGAGAACGTCGTTGCTATGTCGACTAAATCAACGTGCGCTAAAAAAATACTCAACACCTTGAGAAGCTCAGGAAACATACTCAACACCTTGAGAAGCTCAGGAAACATACTTAACGCCTTGAGAAGCTCAGGAAACATACTCAACACCTTGAGAAGCTCAGGAAACATACTCAACGGCATGAGAAGCTCAGGAAACATACTCAACGCCTTGAGAAACTCAGGAAACATACTCAACGCCTTGAGAAGCTCAGGAAACGTACTCAACGCCTTGAGAAGCTCAGGAAACATACTCAACACCTTAAGAAGCTCAGGAAACATACTCAACGCCTTGAGAAGCTCAGGAAACATACTCAACGGCATGAGAAGCTCAGGAAACATACTCAACGCCTTGAGAAACTCAGGAAACATACTCAACGCCTTGAGAAGCCCAGGGAACGTACTCAACGCCTTGAGAAGCTCAGGAAACATACTCAACACCTTAAGAAGCTCAGGAAACATACTCAACGCCTTGAGAAGCTCAGGAAACATACTCAACGCCTTGAGAAGCTCAGGAAACATACTCAACACCTTGAGAAGCTCAGGAAAATACTCAACGCCTTGAGAAGCTCAGGAAACATACTCAACACCTTGTATTCCTCAGGAAACATACTCAACGCTATGTGTAGCTCAGGAAGCACACAAACCCAATCATCAGGGTGTGAGTTTTCAGTCGCATATAGTCCTGGGGACCATTCAGGCTTGTTTGCATTTGTGTTCCTCACGTGTTGCCCCCAAAAATGAGGTGATTTGATAAAATGCTATGCCCAAGATTACCATCCGAGTACTGGCGGGGAAGTGGTTCAAATAACTTCGGCTATCACTTCCTTATGTCCGGTCGTGATGGTCAAGTGCACTAATTAAGGCATCCTGTAGTTACCAGTTGCGTTGCTCCTGGGAGTATGGGTTCGAGTCACTTCTTAGGTGTGAGTTTTCAGTCGCATATAGTCCTGGGGACCATTCAGGCTTGTTTGCATTTGTGTTCCTCACGTGTTGCCCCCAAAAATGAGGTGATTTGATAAAATGCTATGCCCAAGATTACCATCCGAGTGCCGGCGGGGAAGTGGTTCAAATAGCTTCGGCTATCACTTCCTTATGTCCGGTTGTGATGGTCAAGCGGATTAAGGCGTCATGTAGTTACCAGTTGCGTTCCTCCTGGGAGTATGGGTTCGAGTCACTTTTGGGGTGTGAGTTTTCAGATATATATATATATGTATATATATATATATATATATATATATATATATATATATATATATATATATATATATGTCGTACCTAGTAGCCAGAACGCACTTGTCAGCCTACTATGCAAGGCCCGATTTGCCTAATAAGCCAAGTTTTCATGAATTAATATATTTTCTCTAATTTTTTTCTTATGAAATGATAAAGCTACCCATTTCATTATGTATGAAGTCATTTTTTTTATATCGGAGTTAAAATTAACGTAGATATAGGACCGAACCTAACCAACCCTACCTAACCTAACCTAACCTATCTCTATAGGTTAGATTAGGTTAGGTAGCCGAAAAACTTAGGTTAGGTTAGGTTAGGTAGGTTAGGTAGTCGAAAAACAATTAATTCATGAAAACTTGACTTATTAGGCAAATCAGGCCTTGCATAGTAGGCTGAAAAGTGCGTTCTGGCTACTAGGTACGACATATATATATATATATATATATATATATATATATATATATATATATATATATATATATATATATATATATATATATATATATATATATATATGACATCTTCTTATGATGTCTTCGACGAAGACATCATAAGAAGGAAAGTGAAACGCCATGCAACCTCTGAAGAGACAACTAACACAACACCTATACCCCCTATTAGACTATTTTACAGGAACTTCTTTTCCACAGCTCATAAAACGGAGGAAAGGGTCCTGAAAGATATTGTTAATAGAAACGACAACAAGACAACGGCAAGACAACAACATCTCTTTCTAGGCGTTTAACGATGCATAAGCAACAGGGCTCCATTAAGGAACATATAATCTCTTCCCACAACCAAACCATCGCCAGAGAAATCCTAGTAAACAACACAGAAATCATCGATAGATACAGCGATAGCAGGCGGCTTGACGTTTGCGAGGCACTACACATCAAGAAGTCAACACCAGCAATCAACAGCCAATTAATGCACAACTATATTCTACCCACCTCAAGACTCCGCTCCAATATAGAAGCATCAAGAAATATGGACCAATAGGCTTTCTACAAACACTTCTATTCAATACCCATTGTTTTGTGTTCTGTCTTGTGTTGATGAAATTAATACCCTATTAATGCCACCTCTTGTTCTGTCTTGTGTTGATGAAATAAATACCCTATTAATGCCACCTCACTAAAATGTAGATATAAAATCGGAGATGCGTAAGTTCTATTCAGTTGTGTATTTGTAAACTAAAATCTTTGAAAATGTAATAAGTTTTACGAAACGCGCTCGT